TTCTATTTGAACCACTCTCTATTTAATGTGACACAAAACAAGCAAAAAAATTGACTATAAGAAGTCTGATCACTTGAACTTCACTTTTTCTTTTACTGGTAGTTTTTATTCTCCAATCAGAAAGATTTGAATGAATATGAATAGATACTTGAGAATGTGTATTTCTCAAATATGTCCTTCTTTTTACAGATATACATATTTATTTTTATTTAAATATTTCGTTTTGTCTCATGCATTGCATTGAGTGACATATTTACCAATGCCCACAATGAGGTGACCATATAGCCTGGAATATATGTGAGTTTTAGAGCATTGTTGCTGTTGAATTAAATAAAAGATATGCGTCTTGGTATCATATAATAGAGTGTGTTCTTTCCAACTCTTCCAAACTTCCCACATACTTTCATAAAGTCTGTCTTTGTAGCAGATTTCTAAACAGGTTTTAAATGTATGGCTGCTGTAGAAAAATGTCAAGAGTTTCATAAATTAAACATCACAGTCAAGTTAAATTAAATTAGATATTCATAATGTTAAATCTTTTACGACTTTGCTCTATCATATTCAAGGACATAAACAACACTGAACATCTTTTAGCTTCAATAGATTTCAATTGTATTTTCTTGTGCAGCATTTACTATGTTGTAATTCAATATGGGACATTTTAAATGAGCAACTGTTGTATTGGACTTCTGCTTACCTACGTAAGTTTGAGAAACCAGCTCGAGTGCGCTTAGAATTTGAAAATACACAACCGGAGAAAATCTGCCACTTCCTTATAGAGCCCCTCCTCCAACACACACGAACGCGCACATGACCAATGAGGGCACGAGATAAGTTTGTGCACAGATGGAAGGCTGACAGGCAGGTAGGCCATCCAGTTATTTTAGCCGGGCCGGCTAAAATGATTGGTCTATACGGCTTCCACAGATGACATTTTTTTATGGATTTGTTGTCAAAGCACTTAAGATATTCATTGCTATGGGGATGTTAAGAGCATTCCATGGAATATAACAAAAAGTGTATCTCGAGCCGGTTTCTCAAACTTACCTACCCTACCTTTAATTTTAAATCTCTGCTTCTATTTTCTGTTTTCTTCTGCTGCATCACATCAGGGATGCGCGGCAGAGCATTCAAAAGAGGGCAGTGTAAGCACACATGCGGCTTTGCTCCAGGCTTTTCCTCTATTTCAGCATCTATCTCTCACATGTAGGCTACAACGGATAAACCTCACTTGCGTCTATTCAGTTCCACTCTCCATCATTGCAAATCAAACCTTTAACAGCAACTTGTTTTTTGTCCCCAAATGATATATCTGTCAAGACAAAATGACTGAAGAAATTAAAATAAAAGAAGTAGGCCTATGACTAATATGCTGTAATTTCAACAGTCAAAGTGAGAACCCAGCGGTCAAGCTGTGCAGAAAAATCAGCACCTGGTAATTGCTGCTCCACCCACTGACCCCGGTGCAGCGTGCATCTGCAAAACCCGTGACTACGTGTAGGAAAATTGCTTCATAGTTAGTGCATTATTGTTTCAGTGATCGCGGAGAGGTTGCTTTCCCCTGGCCCTGGGTGGCATCATTAACACCGCCTGGAGTTACACGTTTAAATCAGATGGCATTGTCACAGGTGTAACTACTGCTGTTCATGCATGTGATTAATGTCCCCCTTTTTTTGATTAATTTCCTACGCTGGCTGAGGAGCCCTCGCGTTTATGATTAATGAACCTGCAGCCTAATATAATTTAACGGTGGATGTTTTGTGTGTGTGTGTGTGTGTGTGTGTGTGTGTGTGTGTGTGTGTGTGTGTGTATGGTCAAGTTCAAGCTTAAGGAAATCTCCTGTCATTGTCTTAAAAGCCTCATTCACTGAAAAAACTGAAACGTTGACTTTAATTAAATGTAATATGTCAACCAATTTCCCATCACTGTATTAGGTTATACCTAATATTTTTTATTTAAACGTAATGTTATTGCTTTCAACTAACCTAATACAGTTATGTGAAATCTGTTGCTATAATACATTTAATTAGAGTCAACGTTTCAGTTTCTTCCGTGCTGTTCGAGGAGATTATATCCCTGCTACAGTAAATCTTGGAGACAAAGACACAGACACTGGCTCAGCCCTCACATGTGAAGTTAGTTGCCGGCTGACACATAAATCCACACACACTGACGTAGCTCTGGTCTCATGGGTTTTAACTTCATCGCTGCCTGAGGGCTGGGAAGGGTGCGAACAAACCAGAGCCGCACACACACCTGAAGGACCGGGGACAATGTGTGCGGCTTGGTTATACTCACTGTTGACCTTTTGATGTCTAAGTCAATACTCTCTCTTTTCCCCTTCGTCCCTCTCCACCCCACCTTCCCCATCTCCACCGGCGGTGACAGAGACGGAGGACACAGGGGTCTGTAATTAGCTGGCTGACCCCGGGGTTGGGTTGTGTGACCCTAGCAGCCGTGAAGCGCAAGATCCAGGGGCCGATCAGATGAGTAGTTCTGAGGGATCGCTGGTTGAAAGACAGCCGCCCGCGAGCCCCGGCCAACCCCGTCACATTAGCCCAGAGACAGGAGCCCAGCTGCCGGGACAAACTGAGCCACAAACACCTGTGTGAGGCAGAGGACAGACATACAGAGGTGGGAAACGTCATCAGATCCTGTACTTGAATAAAAGTAAAGGTACCCGAGTGTTGGAATACTCTGTTACAAGTAAAGTCCTGCAATCTGAATGTTACTCAGGTAAAAGTATAGGCATCAACATATACATAAAGTACCAAAAGTAAAAGTCCTCATTAGGCAGATTGACCCATTCCAGAATAATACATTTTATGTTTTGATTATAAATATTGATGCATTCAAGTGTTATCAAAGCTGTTAAAGGTGCAGCTAGTTTAATCACTTTGTATACTGTAGGCTAGCTTGTGTAATTTTAAATGAAGTCTTATTGAAGTGTTGATTATATTTTAGATCATTAACCCAAATCTGCAAAGTAACTAAAGGTATGAAATAGGTCCTAACACTATTGAATTGTAGTGAAGAAGTATAAAGTAGCATTAAATGGAAATGCTCAACTACCACAAAATTGTACTTAATTAGAGTACTTGAGTAAATGTACTTAGTTACTTAACACCACTACAAACACACAGACATGCTTTTTCTACATCCACAGACACCCATGCAACTATGAAAACACACCACTCAAGGAAGGGAGGAGGAGGTGGAGGGGAAACCTGAGCCAGGTGGGGGGGGAGGGAGGAGCAGTGCTGGCCCTTGGTCAAGTGCCTTGTATTCCACAAACAGGCCGCATCCAGTTACACTCTACCTGAGACGCCGAGCCCGAGGAGAGGATTCAAAGAGAAGCTTGTGGAGCTCCTTCCCTTTGGTGCGTCTCCTTCGGCTAATGGAGATTTCACTCTAAGAAAAATACATTTCTGGGGATTTGGTGGAAATCAAGACATTCTTTTCAGTCAGTTCATGAGTAATTGTGTTTTCTCTCTCTCTCCCAGCTGCAGAAGTATTAAAAGCATGGGTGTTGCAGAGATACCTAGGAGCAGGTTGATAATTGGTAAATGTGCCTCCACCGCTCACTACACTAATTAAAAGCAGCGAGATGGGAGAAAGGGAGAGAGTGCCATCAAGGACACGCTGGGAGATATTCACCTGAGACGCCGCAGTCACCGAGGCTCCGGGCACATCAGGGTGACCTGAACGCCGGCGCTGTTTGAAGTTGTGAAGGAGAAAAGAAGAAAAAAAAGAGACAAAAGTGTCTGGAGCTCAAACTACTGCCCTTGGGGGAATAAAGAGATATAGAGAGGAGAGGAGATGAAAAGAAAGTAAAGAGAGGAAGATATGTGCAGAGAGAAACATGTTTTGGATTGAGAGGTTGAAGAGGAAAGAGTCTCTGTGTGAAAGTTGAGGCCTCCTCTTTAGGATGCTTATTATTTAGCCCTCATTCATTTGTTACCTCTCTGAAGTCATCATGTTTACACAAGCTGTTACTGCCATTTCCCTGTCGTCTAACCCTCTGCTGTTTTTCCTCCTTCTTTCCCCTCGTTCTTTGTCTTTCTCCTGCTGGTTGGAAATCTGCAAGGCTTGCTCATCGGCGCCAGCCTCTGTTAATCCCCTCCCAAAGCACCTTAGCAACGCTAGGAATTTAGAGATGCTAAAAAAAAACACACGACGACAACAACTGTTCTTAACACTGGGCTCATATTGGCAAGAGTGGCCACATCTTGAGATGTGTGTGTTTTCCATAAGTAGTTCAGAACAATCTGGAAGGGTGTGATAACCGAGGATCTCTCAAGAGTGTGTGTGCGTACATGTGTGTGTGTGTGTGTCAGGATGCGTGTGTGCACAAAATGGAAATGTATGTTTATGGGATATAGTTCCTACAACACGAGCAACCTGGTAATCACTGCATGTAGTCACCTGAGATACTCATTATCTAGTCCCTGTTGTGTACACACACACACACACACACACACACACACACACACACACACACACACACACACACACACACACACACACACACACACACACACACACACACACACACACACACACACACACACACACACACACACACACACACACACACACACACACACACACACACACACAGCGGTGAAACAACTTGTGTTATCATAAGCCAAACTTTGAAGTTTGCCAAATGCCTCGATGAAAAAAAGAAAGAAAATCAATAAAGCAAGGTTACAACGCTCGTAGCAATTATGCCGTTAGTTATTTTCATTTGTTGGCTTTTGCAGTTTTCACACATCAACACAGATCACCCCCACCTCTCTCTTTCTCTCTACCTAAAATCAATTACTTAGGGGCAATGGTAAAATAATTGAGGGCGCATTAAGGCCTTGAAATTAATACATAGTTAAAACTTTTCAATAACTTCTCACTTTGAAATATTAATTTACCTCGCAAATTGAATGTGAAAAAAAGGATGAGAAGCACAATGTTTTATTATTAGGCAGCAATAAGATGCAAGTTTTATTTAATATGTTTTTTCAGCAAAAGCCTAGACAACAAAGTGTACAATGTTAGCGCATAACAAAGACCTGTCTCACAATATGATAATCCAGGAAGAAAAATGTAATAATATTATTTTTTTCAAATTTAAAACATAAATATACATAACATAAAGCTTCATGCACTAGAAATATGTTAATCGACACCTAGGATGAAATGAGAATAATAAATGATTATATTCTGCTTCTCTACAGAAAAGAAGTTAAATGAGAATGACCTGTTTCCCACTGACGGAGCTTCTCTGTTCCCCTTGTTCCAGATCAGTATGTTTGTTATTCGGGCCGGTCACACATTAAATACACTCAAGGCTGTAGAAATATTCATTACAGGCATTTTGACGGATTTTACAAATCTGAAAATGCAGCGGCTTCTTGCCAACTGAGGGACTAAGAGTATTAAGACACTGAAGCTGGCTCCAGTGAAAGGGAAAGGGGAACTGGGTTTTCTTTTTCTTTTGGTTGCAAAAATGGGCTGGTGTTTCTGAATATCTATTTTTTTCTTTTTTACAGCTCGTCTTTCAAATAAGATAAAATAAACTCACCACATGCTCTGAAATCCAACACTGCACTTAGCTATAAAACACGGGGCAATAGGAGAAAGGGATGTGTGTAATTAAGGGGTTTATAGTAGGTAGCATCACATGGGAAAGAGTGAATGGAGGAAATTTGGGGCTCTGACTGTCGCTGACATTTTCCTAAAGGTCTTTTCTCCCACAGCACCTATCTTCTAGTGCTCCACGTAATGATGGGCTGCCAGCAGAGGAGACAAGGCGCTATCTGTTAATCACAGGCCCACAGTGATCCATGTCCACTGGTGATAGCCATGATGGACAGTTTGCTGCAAGAGAGAGACAGACAGAGAAAAGAGGGAGATGGACAAAGAGAGGATATTGATTTGTAGCGGGATCAAATGTCAATAAATAAAGCAGAACAGAGCAAATATAACCCTGTAGTTTCAAAAATATGTCTATATAACAAACATATATTGTGTATTATAACATTAACAGATGAAAAAATGTAACACATAAGCACATGGTTCAGTCAGAATACTGAATAGCCAGCAGGTTATCACATAAATTACTCAAATGTATCCCGCTGCTTAAAGAGTCTGATAGCTGACAACAATCTAATGGCCGTGGAAACAAATTGAGTAGGGTTATAATCATTAAGAACAATTTATCTGCTCCTTTTGGACATACTGCTGTGACATACACATATTTCACTTGTTCCAATCTGACGCATCTAAACAACCCGGTTTGTTGATCACTTGACCCCCGCAGGGTCCAAAGGTCAGCCCGGTTCAAACAGCTATCAGCGTGCAGCAGGCACCATAAAACTGCTGTTTCTGGTTTGAACTCTTTGACCCCACATTAACCTCATTCTCTTCCACAAGGAGAATTATCACCTGCCAGCGAGGAGCAGAAATCCTTTACAGCATCTGGTGGGTACGCATGTGTGCAAGCCAGTGATAGAGAGACACTGCAGGTGTGTTGTTCAGCGCTCTCTATTGAGTGGATGGTGGAGTTAGTGAGAGTCAGTGAGGGTAAGAGACTTTCAGTCAAACAGCGACCTGCAAAGTGTATAAGAACAGGACTAGAAATTGCAAAGAGACTCACATTTTTCATTGCCATCTCCTGATTTCCTCTCAGTGTCACAAATATGCCATATTTCTCCTGATTTATGACAAGTTCTACCCTTTTCTTCTTCTTCTCTTTGTTTTCACAACCCCCCCCCCCTACTGGCACTTTAAAGTGTATTTAAGCCATATGTCTCTGAAACGTGTAGTTTTTCCTCCCAGTCTTTTTTTTAAGACTTGCAGAAGGTTTATTATATATTTTTTGTAATTCAAGGGTTCAAGGTTCTTTATTGTCAAACTGACATAGCTACAGAGTAATTATGTTGTTGAAAATCTTCAACATAATTCTTTGTAACCTACCATATCGTGATAAACACTTATTTTTGTGGGCCGACACACCAGTTTTGGTTTGGAAATTGTCCCTCAGTGATCACTCATGTACCATAGTAGCGGAATAATTTATATTTTGATGTGATGACACTATATTAAAAGTCAGATGATTGACGAAGTGATTACAATTCATTCTGATGTAAAAAATGAATTGGGTAACAATTTTCAAAGCAATCGATCAAATATTTTTGAGCCAATTCAATGAAGTATATTTACTGTGGTCTCAACAAAGAAGTCAGGTAACGGTTTAAATGTATGTCCAAAATGTCATCACTTAAAGGTGGGGTATGTCATTTTGGAGAAACCAGCTCGAGTGCGCTAGAATTTGAAAATACACAACCGGAGAAAATCTGCCACTTCCTTACAGAGCCCCTCCTCCAACACACACGAACGCGCACATGACCAATGAGGGCACGAGATAAGTTTGTGCACAGATGGAAGGCTGACAGGCAGGTAGGCCATCCAGTTATTTTAGCCGGGCCGGCTAAAATGATTGGTCGTGCTTTTTACAGTACTACGGCTTCCACAGATGACATTTTTTTATGAATTTTTTGTCAAAGCACTTAAGATATTCATTGCTATCGGGATGTTAAGAGCATTCCATGGAATATAACAAAAAGTGTATCTCGAGCCGGTTTCTCAAACTTACCTACCCCACCTTCACTTAATAATGGTGTGTTTATCTTATGGCCCAGAATTATGTAATGTGAGATAACAGTGACCCTGACCTCTGACCACTAAAACATTATAAATTCATCTTTGGGTCTGAGTGGATGTTTTAGCCAAATTTAGAGAGCTTCCCTCAAGGTGTTCCTTTGATGTTGCAATGAGAGTGGGAGTGACGGACAACCTGAAACATACTGCCTCTGGCCACTGCTAGTGTCGGCACAGAGTCAAAAAAACAAGAACGTCAACTTCATAGTACCACAAGAGGAACTTAGAAACATCCTCTGAGAACCATGAATGTCTGTACAGCATTTTTTTCAATCTACAAAGAGATATTTTACTGCCTAGGTAGAACCCCTGCTGATGGAGCTGGAGTAAAAGTAAGGGGATCTGCTTTCATGGCATTAGATTAGTTATTGTTATTATTGTATCTCAGATATTTCAGCCTGAACTAAAGCAGAGAATCGACCAACCAACATTGCCATCCATAGAGTCATGCCTCTAACAGTGCAGCCACAGAGAGGCTGAATTAAAGCGTTCCCCCTGCTGAAATGATACATTTTGTACAAGAGCCTGTTGAAATGGGAGGAATAAAAGAACAGTGAAGTAAGAAAGAAAGTAATAATAGTCTGCAGGAGGTGCCATTACTCTCAAACTATTCTACCCCAACTCTCACCCCTGTTATTACAAACCACATGCTTTAAAGTAGTCTGAAAGAAAAAAAAAGGTTTGCTCGGGCTAGTGGAAAATAAACAGGAAGCCACTTTGGACATTTTCATTTACATTTTATTGTTAATTCCCACTTGTGCTCCTGGGGACAACCCTAAGTGTGTTTTTCTCCATGAAAGAGACTCTATGTGGAGCCACTCATGGTGAAAAATAAACAGTGAGTACAAATATACTTCCTTCGAGTTTACAAAAGAGCAGGATTGTAGAGGGTACCTAAAAGTTGTTGTGTGACCTTTCCTTGTTGTTCTGTTTGCCTCAGATTATCAGGCCACTGGTTTAACAAGTGTTTGTCCAGACCAAACAATACACATGGGAGCCAAGGAAAATGGAGTTACAAGATTCACACTCCTTTAATCCCTTTAAAAAAATACACTATAAACTTCCAATGTCTTAAAACCGAGACTTCTTCGTTTGTATGCCCTTTAACGTGACATGCCGCAAATGTACACAAGCCAAACAATGTAGACGAGATGTGAGGGTTATAGTGCCCCTCCAACACATCTCTACATGCAACTACCGCGGCTCATTCTCATGCGATCCATTTCACCTTCATTATGATACTCTGCAGGGGAATGAGAGGTACGCTCACTGTAGATTTCCTGATTACTCGTCCTTGGGGTCTTGTCTGATTGTCTCGCTGCTAGTGTATCTTGCCCTGTTGGACCTATTTTTAGCTACGCAGCTGCACTCTCAGCAATAACGTTTGTCAGTACAATGTTAATGGAACTGATGCTACATAAGTTAAAAAAAAAGTTGCAATAATGCCCAGTTTTTATACCCACTGTATACAAAAGATTTGAGTTCATGGCGAATAATCACTAGCTTCTTAGCTCGCCACGCTACTGGTCTTCAACCACTAAAACAGCTGTGCTAATCAGGTATGGCTAATATGGCACACCAAATGGAGAGACTTGAGAAAGTACTACTGTTGTGTGGAAGCTGCAGACACCCGAAAAACATATTACAATGTATCTGCTGCCATAGACAGATGGTGGCTTTTGCAAGAGTTCTGTTTGTGGAATAAAATAAAGTTGTATTGCAAATGTTGTCACAGGCCAAGTGTAAGAGCCATGAACGTCAGAGTGGGGATCCTGTTTTAGATTTTTGATTGATTATATTTTGGCATTGGTCTTTGTTTTTGTGTTGACCGCAATTTTTTGATAGCTGGATTATTTGGATTATATGTTTTGTGCAAACAAATATCTACGGAATGACTTTTATGTGCAATTGCTGGGTTCTGTTTTGCAATTCAATACAAATAGGAAAAATTGAAATAAATAAAGAGCAACAATATGCAATTCATTCATTTTTCTGTAGCACATCATATCCTGATTAAATTGCATTTTACAATTATAAAAATGCCATTTTGCCAGAATGGATGAAGAGGAGGTATCGGTGCAGAATACGACATTGTAATCCATCAGCCTGATGTGTGTGGAGGTGAGTGGGGTTATTTTGCAGCTCCCACATGATTAAACACAGAGGCTCATTGTGCTTTTGGCACTCCTAAAGTGGAGGCTGCCGTTTTTCATATACATTCGTCTTGCTGCCCTCAGCTGGAAGCAGGGATTTAAGTAACTGAAAGAGGTTTTCATGGATCAATAAAGACATTACATTTCACATGTAATGCTTCCTTAAAAGCGTCTGCGGGAATGTCTTTTTTTTCTTAATATTTTCAGCATTTTTCTGTACTTGTGGCACATTTCTTCCAACTATTCAGTTTGCTCTTGTTGACAGAATTGCTTAATTTACAGCTGAGAGTCTGTTGTCAATGCAATGTCTAAGACTTCATTTCCACCAGCAACTAGCTTTGTGTGCTTTATTTCAATAAAATAAAATATGAGTTTGTTTGCACCTCTCTTTCCACCTGTATGCCATGTGCTGTCTCTGCACCAAACACAAACAGTGAAACAGCATTTTAAATGGCACACAAATCCACTTATTATAGGGAGGCTAATACAAAGCCAGTTTTATCAGTAACTGATGTTATAAGCAACTCCATTAAAACATGTCTACACTAAGATCTCTACACTTCTGATTTACTTTGCTTAGTATGTTTGGCTGCTGAATTTCAATAAAAAGAACTCCAATCCAGGAGGTGTTACCTTTGTATGTCCCTGAGAAGTTATGGGAGTTGCAGTGGATGGTTTGGCATATAAATCATACAACTTTGACACTGAAACCCATTCAACGCACCTAACCACAAGCCTCCAAATGCAACAGCCAACATTGGTATCCAAAAGATAAACCTGGGCACACATTTCTTTTTGGCCACTTGGGGGCAGTGGAAGCCCCCAAGTGGCCAACACTGACATACTATCACCTCATAAAGCAGTTTCAAATATGTTTGCTTATTGCCTTGGGGAAACAATACTCTATTTTGTACATACAACTATTCAAAAACTCAGTCTTACAGGTGCTGGACATGGACTGTACGAGAAGTGGTTGTATGTGTATCAGAACATGTTAGCTTAAAATTAGTAAAGTAAACTTCAGAGTCCAGTGATCACTTTTGATGGTTTTGTTACCACGTGTCCTTAAGTAACCTTAGACAGATGTTTGATCCACTTGTATTGTGTCCATTAGTGCAGCATTAACTATTCTGAGGCACAGAAGCGGTCGATACAAATATAATATGACATGTTTGTAATTCATAAGGGTTGTTTTGGAAGGCCAAGTGGATCCTACTGTAAATGTTGTTCAGGTTGATTTGTTCAACCTCGACATAATTCATAATTCGTAAAAACGTAACCTTATAATATTTTAGAGAACATATAATAATTGAAGTGAAATTGTAGTTCAGGATGAGGACTTTGAACAGTTTGCAGAATATGTCATAAAAGTATTAATAAAAGTGTAATTCAAGCAAATTGGTTGACCCTGATAAGTTATTCTAAAGCAGGAATGTGAAAAATGTCATGGTTTTCTTCACAAAACTGTACAGCTTGGACTTATTTAAGTTATAAATAGAGATTTTTTTTGCTTGAATTTATGATTATAAAGCAGAGTGCCTAACGTAATGGCTGTAGAATAATGAACAACATCTGCGCTTTAAATTGGTTCCCTATAAGCCTCACTTTCAATATGCACTTCTATTTCCAACCAGGTACAATCTCTTGGGAAAATGCACCCATTTAAAAGTTTTGAGCAGATTAAATGGTTGCTATTAGTGGTTATGTCTACTTTTCTAATGAATTAGACGGGGAAATGCTGCACTTGCTACATTGTGATAAATGAAAGTTAAACCTTGTTAAGCAGAATTACTTTGTAGCAAAACGTTAGTTGGTTAGTTCTCGAAAAAAATGTTGGTCCGGCTTTTAATCAGTACTTTTTTAAAGTGGAAGTGGAACTTATTGTTGTTGTGAACCCAAAGATGACATATGGATGATTTCACACATGAGGCGAACACCTGTCTTCTTAGTAAAAGTCCCAACCTAAGTCTAAATAAGAATACCTCTGTCTCTTGCCCCTTCTGACCCACATCTATCAGGGAGAAGAACCACTGAACGATGCCCATTTAATTGGCTGATAACTAAACTGGTGGAAAATGAAGGATTGATTTACATTTCTTTCACAATAAAAGACCCTTGATAAATACATTACTTCCTACGTTACCGTTGGCAACTCAACAAAAGAAAAGTGGAAACTGCAAATAGCCCTTTTGACTCAGTCTTGCTCGACATTATCACAAGCCAGGCAGCTATCAGTAACCATGTTGATATAGATCAATAAGTAGATTGATTTACTTGCAATATTGTTTGGCTAAAAATGAAGTGTGTCATGTCATGTGTAAGGTAGCTCTGAGGAAAAGGGAAAGTGATCTGATTTTCTTCAACTTCAAAACTGCTATCAGACACAGGGTAAAAGCTGACTTGTTTTCGTATTCCATTTTAACTTGCATAACGCAGAGGCTGCTTATTTTCAGCAGCTTTTTCAGTTGAAGCACTTTTCTTTTCTTTTGTTGACCGGGCACTAGTGAGGTCACCCAAACCCCCAGGAAGAGTGCCAGGATTTGAGGCAATTATTTTTTTGTGCCAAAACAGTTAAATGACAACTTCCAGGTATATCACTTGATGCCATCAGGCCCAAAACGTTTTTCTCCCCATGCTTACATTGGGAAAGAGATGCCTGAGAAATATTTGTAGTGGTAACTTCTCAGTATAATCACAATGTGTCACTTTCTAAATTACTAGAGGCTGAAAAGAGTAGGCTACTGATAACTGAATCCAGAGTAAGAAACCCTCCTTTATTCACGTGAAGAAGACAGAGTGACTGGGACGAGTTTAAAGGAAACACTTGTGCACTTAATGTGGAATATCGCCCAAACCAGGTATCTTTATCAATCAGCCTCTAGTGCTATATCCAGTTCTCTTTATACATCTATGAGGTCACCCCCACTTCAACATTTTGGGGAATTTGGAGGATTCAACAACAAGAGGAATTAACAGTGATTAACTTTGTTGGGTTTTGATATTCAAATACATTACAAGTCAAAACATACATTATAATAGATTTAGTAATAGGTATAATGACATGTAAAAAGAAAGCTCATACACATTTAGAGCATACAAAGTTCATGGCAAATATAATTAGACTCTTGAATAATAATTTGTGAATGTCTCTGTGCTTTTAAATGAGATATGTGCTGGGGGGGCTTTTGGACTTTGGAGTCTCCTCGTCCTTTCATCAGTGATGGACAGTCAGGCCACTCAGTATGCTGCACCCCCCACCCCCTAAACTCCCATCTTCTTCAAACTTATTCTTTCCTTTCTCCTCCTTCCTCCCCAAAACTCCCCGGTTCCCGTGGAGTGGCTGGTTTTGTGTGGCCCCAGCACTGTCCCGTTTTTATCACTTCTCTGACGGGTTACCCCGGTCCCCCTCGCACCTGCGCCGCTCCCAGGTCCCTACAGGAATGCGCTGGGGCTTGTAATCGCCTTTGTGAGGGCCATTGAGTTGTACGGCTGACTGAAACTTCCCAACCTCACAGCGCGCTGCCCGCTGAATGGGGCTCAGCGTGGGGCGGCTCTCCAAACCTCCACCGCTGCCAAATTCCTACAGTGGAGCTCCACAATCACTCCCACACAGGCCCCGATATACCGCCAGGCAGGAGGGACAGGGAGGGGGTGGTGGGGTGTTTGTGTGTGTGTATGTGTGTGTGTGCGCGTGTGAGTGTGTCTGTGTGTGTGTTGGGCAGAGAGATGAAAATGTCTACATTTAACTCCAAATAGACACTTTTATGCGTAATATCACCACTCTCAATGGACATAATTTCTTGAGTTTTTGTCATTGTTCGATTTGGTAAACAGTGATTTAGTGCAATAATAAACCAACATTATACATTTTCATTTCAATATCTCACCTCTTGTCAAAATGTCCCAGTGTAGATGCTATTCCAACAACGGAGAAATCTGAAAAATAAAAAAAAATAGAAAATAAAAAAGGCGGTTTTGAATGCTGGACAAAGTTTGAAAATAAAGCAATTTCTCATAACTTTCAGGACATTTTGTGCTGCGTTTCGGTGCATTAGGTCTGTGTGCCGACATATAGCGTGGTAGCTGTGGGTAGATAGAGCAGCACTGCAGGATTAAGAGGCAGCAAGATTGTTAAACATGTCAACGTGTAATTGCACGATAAGGCCCTTCCGAGGAATTCATTGGCCCAGTTGCTTTCTCTATTCCGCGCTAATCTCGCCCGGCACATTCGCTCTGTGCAATCTGTCTCCATAATCTTCTGTGACAGAGCGGGCGACGAGAGCAGCCTGCCTGGTAATTTTTTTAGGAAAAGGGGGGGAGACGTGGAGAAAATATGCAGAGGCGTGATAAAGTGACGCTAATTATCCCCATTTAGGACAGGGAGTGCAAGGGATCGGGGCTTTACGAGCAACCGAGTGTGCGCCGGAGCTGATGGCCTCCTAGCACGGAATATATCGGTGGCTACAAGATAAGAGCATCGCATAGTGGAGAGATTTATTGGCCGGTCAGCTAAACACACGCACACACTGACGCACACGCACAAACACACACACATACATCGCTGCCACAGCTTGTATACGCTGCACCCTACACTTACCCCTCTTCCACCTCAAGGTGTAATTTATTCGGGTTAAATTTGCCAGAACGCTCCTCTTTTAGCCTGGCGATGCGCCGTGACGCGCTCCGCCTCTCTGGCTTTCAGTGTTAATCCGCATCTCTCCACATCAACAGATAAGATAGAAACAGATGCAAAACGCACGAGGAGGCCTTCCCCGTGCCATACGCTGCGAGAGATGTCTCCATAGATGCGGTTTCTTTTGGGTTATGGAATTTAAACTCATTTCCAGACATTGTTCCTGTGATTTCTGTCAATAGATTAATGCGCAGCCAGACGCTTCACGCTTTACTTTGAGGCCTAACAGGTTTAATTGACATACCATGCAAGTCTTCATCAGTGTGACATAGGCCCTTTAACTATGTATTTGAGATTAATTGATTTTTCAAAATGCCTAAGTGGGCATACATTTCACTCATTTGCATGTGTATGGCTATTAGCCTGTATCTACACGGGGCCTACAGGCAATAAGAAAACTGTCAAAAGCAGCTGAGGCCTGTCAGAAAGTGACGTCATTTTCAGGAGAAATGTTCAATATTTTAAGAGCATTTTAAAATGTATATATTTTTTTCTTAAACATGTCTGAAGGTGTTTTGTACAAAGGTATCAAAACTCACCTCAATAAAAAACGTTGAAATGATGAGTCATCAGTCAGTGAGAAGTTAAAGTCCAGTCTGTGAATCAGATGTCCTGTATACTTTTGGTTTCCAGTAAATCGCAATAAATGTTGCATTATTTAATGGTTTGCTTTGTGCTGTGAATGCAATTGAGTTTTTTTTATTTGGCATTGACATTGTATTTTCCTTATTACATATGGCAGAGGTTTATTAACCTAAAGTATCTTGTCGTGCGTTTGTTTTATTAAATGTGAATGTACACTTTAAATAATCGTTTGTGCCTCATGTACTTTTCCCGGATCCCTTTACTGTCCTGCCTCTGTAAAGTGTCACTCTCACTGCCTCACAGCTTAACTAAAAGATGATATAATAAGGATTAAACCTCGATTACAGGATCTGTTATTACAAATATGTGTTTAACTGTTGATTTACCATCTCTAAAACTGTTCATTTGATTACCAAGGTAACCAAACTCTAGAAAAATGTATTCTTTTTTTGTGATTTTAAGGATGCACGTCTTTTTCCCTGAAGTCGTTTGTAATGTCTTCACAAATCTTTCAATATTCTAATTAAGCGATATCATATTTCAGTTTATGTATTCAAGTGTTAAAGTAGAATAAAGTGGAGTATTTAAAATAAAAGTCCGTCGGTGTAAACTATACCAGTTTAGGTTAAAGATCACTGATATTTATTTATTCATCAATTCATGTAATAAATCAATACTTTCATCACTAAAATATTGATTATATATTACTGCTTTCTTTATTTTACGTCTGAGTCGAATGATTTAAAGTCATGATCAAAACAGAAGGAGTAAAATTACATCAAACTAAATGTCAATCGGTGCATCTAAAACATATGAAGGTAATTTAATAGTTAAAATTATCTATTAAAATAATTTTTTTTTTTATAAAAGGCCAAAGGCTAACATTAACCCACAGTTAAAACGTGAAAATGGTAAATAAAGCCTTTTGATAGGCTGGTACATTGTTGTTAGAGAAAGTCATTATGTATGTGATCTATCAAGAAATTGAAATGTTTAACAGCTTTGGAATTCGTTAGAAAAATATAAATCTTATAAATAACGTATTTAATAAAATGACTATACATTGACAGAAGTTAACAAATATATTAAATAAAATTAAAATAAATCTGCTTAAATTGACACTGCTGTTTTAAAACTCTTTACTATGGTAATATTCGGTTGTATTATTTAAGTAAATCCTTTTATTCCTGTAACAAATGAGGACGTTTCGTTATTTACACTAACAGGTGGTTTGTTATATGAGGCCTTCATCCACTCTGTGTTATCAGATATATTTAGAAAATGCCATTTAATGTGTAAGGAATCTTTTTTATATAAATATGGAATATTGGCTATTAACGTGGCATTCTTTAAATGTTCACAGCTTGAATATAGTCTGACCTGCATGCCACTTAAAAATAAAATATTAAATTAATTTTTGAATTAATTTTTCATTACACCCATTTAAGTTTGGCCCATGAAAAACACCATCCTATCAAAACGGGTTCCTCGGGGCCTACAGACTGAAGCTTTTACGCACGATTACGCACAAACAATTCAGCTATTTAGAAGCTCGTGGGATCTATGGTTTCAACATTTTAACAGGTGTCTATTTTTCTCTAGTGGGAGCTTGATAATATTCTTGTGTCCTAAAACGTGAAAACACTCCTGTGAGAACATTGTGTAAAATAATCAATCTAAGACCGTATTCTTGAGAATCAAAGCAACATCTGGTGAAATTTATTCAATTCTTCTTCATTGCAATATCAGGGCTTTTCACTTGCAGAAAAGCACTTAAATTACAACAGCAGTTGCCCGTCATCATTTGAAATATTAAAATTATTCACAATTTACAATAATTAGAGTGTTACAATAAAAAGAGATGATTTCGAAGAATTAAGACACAGGCTTCTGCAAATGAACACAAATGTTTAAAGAATGTGATTTCCCCATTTCTTTTAAAGCACTTTCTTAAGATTATGACACGTTATCTCATTTTCAATAACTTACAAGAGCCCTCCCCCCAAAAAGAATAATGAGACAATTTAACCAAATACCCCCAAGTGGACCTGGCTTAACCCTCAACTTAAACTGTGAAGTAATGGACAAAAAGATGGTAGCACAATAACCAAAATCTCAGCATCAGATATATAATTCCACTGGAGGCTATTAAAAAAAAAAAAAGCCGAGATGAATTTGCTATTTACCCTTCATTTACAATATCATAAACATTCTGTACAAAATGCAGGTAGTTCTCGGGACCGGGGTTATTTAGAAAAGAGGTAAATATTTGGTTATGTGTTCGTTTGCAGTTTTCAATTATTCTGTGAGTTTTAAATGTGTGTTAGAGGGACCGTCCCGTTCACTCCAGCCGTGGCGCTCTGGTAATGCTGCGGCAAGGCATGGAGTCTACTTTGCATTGACGGGTCCCCCGGCTCTCCGGTCGGTAAATACATGCTTATCATCTCTCTCAAGTCTCCGGGGCAAGGACCCCGTGAGTGTGTGCTGCTGACGGGAGGGCTTACACTCGGCTCCGACTTCACAAGCGACCCTAACGTCCCCATGGCAGCCGAGGAGGAGACGCCGGAGCCCTGGTGCTGTGAGTAGCTGATCCCGCCGTAGCCGGATGGAGAAGCGTTCATGTAGCTCTGAGAGTTCGAGATGGGGCTGTACTGCAGGGCCGTCATGTCGTAGCGGTGCATGGGCTGCGGGTTGTGTGAGTGGTGGTGGTGTGAGTGGTGGTGGTGCACCCCGCTGCCAGGGTGCTGGCTGTAGGCGAGCTGCGCCTCCTGCATCATCGCTGCGGCCGCCGCGGCTGCTGCCACCTGCCCCGAGTACGCACCGTTCGCCCAGCCGTTCATGTGCGCGTAGCCGGAGCCGGCGGAGCCTCCGTGACCCCCGGGGCTCTCTAACCTCTGCCCGACCCCGGATGAACCCATCCCGACTCCCATTCCAACTCCCATTCCAACTCCACCGCCTGGCCCAGAAAGCAGTCCACCAGCGAGGGAATATTTGTCCTTTTTCAGCAGCGTCTTGGTCTTCCGTCTTGGCCGGTACTTGTAATCCGGATGCTCCTTCATGTGCATGGCTCGCAACCGTTTCGCCTCGTCGATGAAAGGTCTCTTCTCAGCCTCGGACATCACTTTCCACTCTGCGCCCAGCCGCTTGCTGATCTCAGAGTTGTGCATTTTTGGGTTCTCCTGTGCCATCTTCCTCCGCTGGCCCCGGGACCAAACCATGAACGCGTTCATCGGTCTCTTCACCCGCTCCTGGTTCGCTTTGGACCCACTGTTCGGCCCCGTTTGCCCCGTGTTTGTGTTCGTTTGGGGACCGGGGGAATGGAGGTCAGTTTCCATCATCATGCTATACATTCACCTGGTTGTAAAGTTCGCCAACAACAGAGAAAAAAGTCTATTTCAAGATAGCAGCGCACAGGAACGAGTGCGCACAGGATAACTGGATAACACAATTTAATATTCTAACTCCAAATGATTCAAGATCAAAATTAATCCAAAAGGGATATAAAATGTTCTCCAACCAGTACTTCACGCGCTCTTCGCCTGGGTTGGTTCACATCCACTGTGGCAGAATGCGCATTTGAGCCACTTTCCCTGTCGGAGTTGAGAAGTTGGTTAAAGCGGCGGCCATATGATGCGCACTGACAGCGGTTAAATGAGCCACAAGCGGCCAATGAGGCTCTAGCAGCAGAGTGATTTGCATGGCGTTTGGTCAGGTGACTAGAGGACCATAGAGGAAGAGCTCACCGGAGGAGGAGGAGGAGGAGGAGGAGGAGGAGGAGGAGGAGGAGGAAGAGGAGGGGGGGCAGAAAAGAGGGTCAATCCCACAAATAGCACAAGGCATTTGAAATTTCCAAACACGCTTTCAGAGGCTTCAGCTAAACAAAAATAACTAAGATTTGTTAGCAGTGAGTGGGGTGCAGACTGTGATTACCATGAGTCAAGCATCTCGACATATTTTTAAAGATTAGTGCTGAATTTCGGAAATCACTTTACCACAGCTTCAATATAACACAGCTTCTAAATTCGCATGCTTCAGTTAAAGTTTGGGTACAAATATTTCCACTTTTCTCTTAATGAATGCTTGACAATCAGACAATTTCCTTTATTTTTAAGCGAGTTATTCTCAAACCTTTTGTGATTACTCGAAGCCCTGGGCCCCAACTGTATTTATATGTACTAAAATAACACAACAGTCAGCCAAAACCAATTCAATATTAGGCGATTTGATGCTCAAGCAGAGCTTCAAAATCCATTTGTTCAGACCTCTTCTCTGCCTGCCTCTCTCTGCCTTCAGGTGTGTAATTAAGGTAGTAATAGTAGGTGTAATAGAAAGACATTTTACACACTCAATACAGAAGATTATGTGAAAGAGATTTAGTGAAACAAATGTTGGTCTAAGAGGAGAAGCCCCTCGGGATGGATCGCCATATAATGACGTGAAATTGCTGGGGCAAAGCGTCGTGATCGCCGTCTGCTGGCAGTGCATGAGCCTGTGTGTGTGTGTGAGAGTGAGTGTGTGTGTGTATAGCTGAGGATGAAAAGAAAGGCCACGTGTAATCTACTCTGCCATCTTCTCTGGAGTTTTTTTCTTCTTCTACCTGGCTGATACATTTCTTAAAGTTTCTTATTTAACAGGTTACCCGTGCGTAAAAACTGACAGGGAAGTCTTGGACTCCGCGCATTTATAATCCAGATTTCACAGCTGACCTCCCCTGAAAAGCCCAATCAACCCTTAATTGAAAAGGAAAACGGAATACCACTTCCCGCGGCGAGACTAACGATTTAATCGTCCTTTGCTGTTTTTTATTTTAATTGAAGCTTAGCTTGATATGGCGTTGTGTTCAGGGCCTGAGGGAGAGGGATCACTCGGACAGATCCATGCCTCCCTGGTAATGGGGTTAACGGGATATCACACCGATGGTCAATAAGCGTCTCCTCTGGTCCATGTGGCTCAAGGCCCGAGAAGATGGCGATAGGATGATGGTGACACACGGAGTTACAGATTTGTCAGCGAGTGCCAGTGAAGCCATCACAAAAAATATATATATTCCTAATAAAAAATAATTACGATAAATTTATGATAAGGAAATTGAATTAACACTGATTAAACTACCTCACATCACAATCACAGTAAACATTTTGAAAGTATTCAAAACATATTTCTACATTTAAAAAGTAAGGAGTACTATTTATTTACCAAATCAGTTAATTACGGTAATATAAACCAAAATACATTGGATGTTTTTCCAATAAAAAAATGAAACATCTGAATATTTTTTGATAAATATTAATATAGCCTGCTTAAATTAATTCATAGTCTTCACAAACGATGCTGCACAATGTTAAAATCCGGGGGGATTATTTAAGGGGTATATATGTTTTAGGATCGATCGAGAATGATTAATTATTATTGTGATTATTTGTTCCTCTCATTGTGGAGTGGGTTTAGGCTTGTAGAGGATTAGCCTTCACAGTGACACTGGGACCCCGGTGGCCCCTGTTTACTCTCCCTGTCATCCCCCATCAGTCACTCCTCTTTTAACAAACCTCTTTTCAAAACCTGCTCGCTCCTTTGTGCGCGGCCTCTGCAACAGGATGTGCGCACTGCGATGATGGTGCACAACTGGGGCCAGGGGTCAAAGCAGTTATCTATACCCCAACCCCCCCAATGAATTTAAATAAAAAAAGAGAAAAATAAAAAAGAGAAATATTAGGTATAAATAGTAAAATCTAAAATGCACAGCGTTTTATTGTGCCGTTTACTATGAGCCAACTTCTTCGCAAAGTAACACGCAGGCACAACGAAAGTGAAAGAAAGACCGATTGTATCTGGGTTCCCCCCTTTAATCTGTCATCTTTCCTCCTAAAGCTGTTAAGCCAGAACAACAATGTCCACGTGTCTCTGTGTGTGTGTGCAAAGCCAGCGGCGCGCGTAAAACTGGGTGGTGTTGGTTTTGGGAAAGAAAAATAAAAAAAGAGTAATGATCACCTGACCTGGAAAAAAAACAGCAGTTTACATGGGAAGAAAAATAAAATAAATGTTTTACTGCTTCTATCTACAACATGTGATGATCAGCCCCCACCTGCTCCCCCCCTCCTCCTAAAAGTAAAAACACCGAGATAATCACGTAACCGAGCCGTGTAAAACAACTTGTGATAAACACTCCCAGAATTTACAGCATGCAGCTGATCGTTCTCGTTAATCAGGCAAATAAAAAGGTGGAACCGATAACCTCTCACTCCCGAACACATCAGGAGCTGCTCGGAAAATCTAACGGAGAGCAACTGGTAGCACCGCGAGCCCAGAGCAGTGCGCAATGTGCAGCCAAGCCCCGGTGCGTCTCCCTTGTCCCAAAATAAAACGACAGCCTGCAGCGAGAAACACATATTATCTGCTTTGAATTAAACACAGCAGAGCGCAGACGTTCCGAAATAAAGGGATGCCATAAATACAGATATTTAGTTCGCTTTACCCCTCCCGTTTTTCAGCATTAAATCCACTTTACGCAATTGAAGATTTTACGCACAACAGGAAGGTTTACTAATAAAACATCCACAGGTTACATATTTATAAAAATGCCTTTTCTCTGAAGGGAATTATATGCAAACTTACGCATGTTCCCCTCGTTCCCTCTACTCCAGACCATGTGGGCAGATTTCCTACTCCATACTCCTAAAGCCGTCCTAAACCCTGCAAAGCCTCATGTAAGACCGCTACTCCCACTACAATCTGGCCACTCGAGTGCCAAGGCCATCCGTGCCCGGTGCCCAAACCCACCACACACACTGAGGGGCAGACACAAGAAGAAATGACATTTATTATACACTCTAAAAAAGACAATTCCAAGTTATTGTTTCTCTCTGCGAAAGGGGCTTGCTTCTAACATAATGGAGCGTCTTTTGTGTGCCACAGAACAATACAAAACAAGTATTCTAATAAATAGCCACTTTTTTTTTTTGGCTCTCCAGGATGAATGGGGCTGGAGCGGCGGGGTTCTGAAAGGCAGCTGTGCCGCATTGGGGGAGGAGGGGCGAGGAGTTGGGAGGAGCCCAGCACCCCCCTTCCTTACCTCCTCCTGGATACTGACTCCCATTACTGATCCTGGAACAGAAAAGGATGCAGGGAGAGAGGGGGGAGAGGTATTGACTTTGGAGGCTGTTTTTTTTACTCAGGACATACACTGTGTCCAACAATGTGATCCTCAAACCCTCACATATTGCCTCATACTGTGAAGTCCACAGTATCCAATTAGATTCAGTTCCTATGAACCTGCACAGCTTGCAAGCATGTGGCTCTGACAGCTTCTAGGTGGAGAAACACACACGCGCATACACACACGCGCACACTCACACACATATGTAATACTGTATAAGAAACAGCTGGGATCATTAAAGATTTCTTATTCACAGATATCGTCTTACATTTGGGAGATCGTAATATTGCATCAGAGTCTTTACTGGCATTACAGTATAAAGTGATGACATTATTGTCATATTCACATTACTGATGATTATCTATCAAAAATGTCGTTCTGTTAATATGATGTGAAAGCACCAATAGTCAACCCTGTCTCGATATCAATATCAAGGTATTTGATCAGAAATATTGTGATATTTGATTGTCTCCTTATTGCCCAGGTCTAGTGGCAACTGTTTCCTTTTTTGACGTGTTAAATGTATAAAATGTCGTGAAATTGTGAAACATTTCTATTCTAGTTCCTTCAAGTGCTGAGGTAATGTCTTTAAATGTCTGTTATGCCACTCAATAACCCAAAGACATTCAGATTATTTTGATATAAAGCATAGAAAAGAAGGAAATCCATATTTGAGGGACTGAAAACAAAATTTCTTGCCATAAAGAATTCCTTTGACGATTTTCTGATCATAAAAAGTTGTCCGGTATTTCTCTGTCGCTGCTTATCCAGTTGACTAATCCTTGCCACTCTCTACACACAAGCAGGTCTGTTCAATCTACTCTTTCCCACCTCACAGATGTATTTTTCTCATATTACGCCTCACATGTCTGTTTGTTTTGCAAACACAGCAGCAGAGCCTGGCACGGCGGCTCCTTCCCTGTTAATGAATCACACTGCAACAGGCCTCTTGGCTCCAGACGCCCTGACGGAGCTGATGGAGCTGGCAGGACTCGGAGCTGCTTCACACACCCATCTGCTAACTGCTGGAGCCAAGGTGAAAACAGTGTGCGTCCTATAAAAGTAAGACCTTCTATTGTTTGGTAACGAGGGGTGGAAACAAATCTTGGTGATGCTTTTCTACAGAACATTCATTGCTGTATAATGACTTGATGAGGTAAACTGGACAAACCGTGGGCCTGCCATCCACAAATATATCATTGAACATGGAGAATCTTATTTATTTTACTCGAATAGTATAACACAGAGAAATATCTCAACTAACACTACTTTGGTTCAACATTTCAGAATAACCCTTCTGCTTTTTCTTGACTTTAGTTGAAAAGATGATGATGGTTAAACAACCTTTTCATACACTTTCGGCCCAGGAAAAAAAAAACCTCGCTGCACATTGAAACCACGTCTACATCCTGTCATTTATACTCATTCACCAGAGATTACTTTGTCACTTT